GAGGACGAGGAAGGGGACGACGACGACGTCGACGACGACGACGACGAAAAGGAGGAGGGGGGAGGATCGGGAGGGGGGGAAGAGGAGGAGGACGACGAGGAGGAACATGACGACAATGGGAGGACGATGATGGAAGGACGAGGGGAGGAGAGGGAGGACGAGGAAGAAGAGGAGGAGGAGGACGAGGTGGAGGAGGAGGACGACGATGACGATGAGGACGAGGACGAGGACGAGGAAGAGGAGGAGGAGAAGGCAGAGGAGGAGGAGGAGAGCGCCATCGACAAGGAAGGTGGGGGCCACGAGGTCCGCCGGCTTGACGACGCCCGCGTCGCCCGCGCCAGCCCCCTCACTCTTATCCGCAATTGCGGGGTGTCATATAGCCCGCCGCAGTTGCGGATAAGAGTGAGGGGGCGGCGGGGGCTTCGGCAGTCTGCGAGGCTCTGAAGAAGCCCGCCGCAGGCGCAGAATGTCAAGCTATACTAACGAGTCCGCCGCAGGCGCCGATTTTTCAGTTAACACAAATGTGGGTGGGTCGCGGGGTGGGTCGCAAGTTGGTCGCGGATGGGTCAACGGTGGGTCGCGGGTGGGTCGCGGGCCGGGTCGCGGGTGGGTCGCGGGTGGGTCGCGAGTGGTTCGCGGGTGGGTCGCGGGTAGGTCGCGAGCGGGTCGCGGGGTGGGTCGCGGGTGGGTCGCGGGTAGGTCGCGGGGGTGGGTTGCGGTGGGTCGCGGTGTGGGTCGCGGGTGGGTCGCGGGCCGGGTGGCGGGGGGGACGACGCAACAAAACAAGCAGAATCCTCGCCGTCCCCACTTCAGCCACGCACCCAGGGACAGTGAATGACCGTTCGGCCCCCTCACTCTGACTGAAAGGGTCGCGGGATGGGTCGCGGGCTGGGTCGCGGGGTCGGTCGCGGGTGGGTCGCGAAGTGGGTCGCGGGTGGGTCGTGGGGTGGGTCGCGGGGTGGGTCGTGGGTGGGTCGCGGGTGGGTCGCGGGTGGGTCGCAGGGTGGGTCGCGTGTGGGTCGCAGGGTGGGTCGCGGGGTGGGTCGCGGGGTGGGTTGCGAGGTTGGTCGAGGGGTGGGTGGCGGGGTGGGTCGCGGGTAGGACGACGACAGCAAACAAAGGAACAACAACGCAACGACGCAACAAGTAGAACCTTCACCACGGATCCCCACTTCAACCATGCACCCAGGGTTAATGAATCAGCTTTCGGCCCCCGCACTCGGATATGCATATGCAAGCAAATACTCCTCTCTCTCTCCCCTCTCTCCCCTATATATCTATAGATGTGTGCATTACATATAAATAGATGTCTTTCTCGCAATACATATATATAGATATATGTATGTGTATATATGTCCCTGCCCAATTATGTGTATACTATGATATGCTTACATACAGATCTTAGTATGTCTCTCTCTCTCTCTCTCGCTAACTCTCGCTCTCTCTCTCTCTCTCTCGCTCTCTCTCTCTCTCTCTATCTCTCTCTTGTCTCTATCGCTCTCTCTGTCTCTCATCCTACTGGGCAGCAGTCAAACGGAACTTTCACCCGCAACGGATTGCGAGCACCATGCTAACAATAAAAGCTCGGGTATGCACATACATACATCTACATATTTTCATATGTATATATATGTGTATATGGTGTACAAGGCGTCATTGGCACTTCGCGCCATGCACCCTGGTCCCTGAAGTTTCGCACGGGCAGAATGAGAGATAGGAAGCGAGAGAGGGAGAGAGATAGAGAGAGAGAGATATAACAGTATGATATGATGTCCTTGTCTCCGTTTTCGCGCTGACGTTCTCTTTGGTCCCCTCCTCTCCCATTATTTTCTCTTCCCTTTGCACATTGATCGTTCTCGCCATTCTCTGCGAACCCTTCTCCGTCCTCGTTGGCTGCGGGCCCGTCCCCATGTCTTGCGGGGGCTCCTCCTTGGGGGAGTCACTGCCCCTCGACGCCTCGACGGCTTGTGGGGGCTTGTTGGGGGCCCCTGCAGGCCGGCAGATGCTCTTCTGACGGCCTCTGAGTCTGGACACCATGCTGCCCTTCGTGGCTTCCCTCAACGACCGGGTTCCAACTCAAAGTGTTCTGGGGGGTGTCTTGGGGCCATCTGGGGCCGTCTTGGGACTTTCGTGGGGCCATCGTGGGGCCTGTTGGGCTGCATTGGGGCTCTCCGAGGTCGTCTTGACGCCCTCGTGGCCACTATCGGGCCGATCTTGGAGGCATCTCGGGCGGTATTGGACGCCTCGAAGACCGAAGAACCGAGCACTGAGAAGAAGTGCACACGGGCCAACAGAGTGTCTCTGCTGTTTTGTGTGTTTCAGGGCACTTTGGGGGTGTGCTCTGGGCCCTCTTCGGGCGTCTGGTGAGTGTGTGGGGTCGGTTGGGACTCTCGTGGGGCCGTTTCGACGCCCTCCTGACCGTTTTGGGATCGCTGGCTAAGCCTTGCGCATGATAAGCAGAAGTCCCAGGAGATCCTCTGCAAGGGCGTCCAAAAGGCCCGTGGGACCAGGAATCGGTGGGGTCTCGTTCCTGAGGGGGGGGGGGTCGCAGGGTTTCGGATCAAGTAAATTAGATGGAAAGGAGTTTATACGTGTATGTACATGTAGACATATATATATATATATATATATATTGTTGCACGTGTTGATGAGTACATAGATGTTCGCGTACATATAAATACATGTGTCTATATAAAAATATAAATACATATATATATATGTGTGTGTATGGGTGTATGCACAGATAGTGATATGTATGTCTATATCGAATGGTCTCTCTCGCTCTCTCTATCTCTGTCTCTCATTATCTCGCCTCGTTTCCCTCTCCCCAGCAGAGAGCGGTTGGAGAGGAAGGAAGAGCGGGAGCGGATGGAGGGCTTTGGAGGAGCACGGAGAAGAGCAGAAGGACGAAGAGCCGGACGAGGAGGGAGGCAGCCGCCAGCGGGCTGGGAAACAACAGAGGGAGGGAGAGGGAGAGAGAGAGAGAGAGCGAGAGAGAGAAAGAGAGACCCTCTGGCGAAGAGGCGAGAGCTGGCCAGCTGTGGACCCTGGACACCCCCCGCCCTTGGAGGGGGGGTTGCCGCTGGCTTCCAGGACGGACGGGATGCCAAGCCTGGGAGCCTTCGAGGGCGAGGGCCGCTTGGCTGGAGTGCCAAGCCCTCCTGTCTCCTCCTCCTCCTCCTCCACCTCCTCCTCCTCCTCCACCTCTTCCTCCTCCTCCGCCTCCGCCTCCTCCTCCTCCTTCTCCTCCTCCTCCTCCTTCATTCTCCTCCCTCCTCCTCCTCATTCTCCTACTCCTTCCTCCTCCTCCTCCTCCCCTCCTCCTTCCTCCTCTCCTCCTCCCTCCTCCTCCTCCTCTTCCTCCTCCTCTCCTCTCTCCTCCTCCCTCCTCCTCCCTCCTCTCCTCCTCCTTCTCCTCCTCCTCCTCCTCCTGCTCCTCCTCCTCCGCCTCCTCTTCTCCTCCTCCTCCTCCTCCTTTCCTCCTCCTCCTCCTTCCTCCTCCTCCTCCTCCCCTCCATCTCTCATCCGCCTTCTCCTCCTTTCCTCCTCCCTCTCATCCTCCTCCTCCACCTCCTCCTCCTTCTCCTTCTCCTCCTCCTCCTCCTCCTCCTCCTCTTCTCCTCCTCCTCCTCCTTCCTCCTCCTCCTGCCTCCTCCTCCTCCTCCTCCTCCTCCTCCTCCTCCTCCTCCTAGTCCTCGTCCTCCTCCTCCTCCTTCTGCTCCTGCTACTCTTCCTCCTTCTGCTCCTCGACATCATCATGAACATGATCAGCATCATCATCAGCATCAGTATCAGCATCAGCATCAGCATCATCATCATCGTCATCATCAGCATCACAATCCTCATGATCATCAACAGCAGCATAATCCTCTGCATCATCGTCAGCATAATCATCATCGGTATCATCATCATCAGCATCATGATCATCATCCTCAGCAGCATCATCACCAGCATTGCCACCGTCATCATCACAAACAGCGGCATCTTTCACAGCAGCATCAGCATCAGCATAATCATCAGCATAATCATCATCATCACCAACAATAAGTATCATCATAATCATCATCAGCATCATCATCATCAGCAGCATCAGCATCAAGATCATCAACTCCACCACCAGCAGCAACCTCATCATACATATCAGCATCGGCATCATCATCATCAGCGACAGCGTCATACCATCATCGCCATCAGCATCATCATACTCGTCATCAACATAAGCATCATCAGCAATATCATCAGCATCGTCATCATCAGCATCATCATCGTCGTCATTCACGTCATCATCGTCGTCGTCGTCATCATAGCCACCATCACCATGGGCAGCACAACCATCATCGCCACCACCATCATCAGCATCATCAACCTCATCATCATCATCATCATCATCATCAACAGCAGCAATATCAGCATCATCAGCAACCACATCATCATCAATTTCATCATACTCAGCATCCCCCTCCTCCTCCACTTCCTCCTCCTCCTCCTCATAATCATCATCAACACCATCATCGGCCTCCTCATCCTCGTTCTCATTCTCATCCTCAACCACATCGTCATCATCATCATCATCATCATCATCATCATCATCATCATCATCGTCACAACAATCATCATGACCACCCACCAACACCATCATCACCATCATCATCAACATCCTCATCACCACCATCATCGTCATCGTCATCGTCATCATCACCACCACCATCACCACCATCACCACCATCATCCCATCCTGATCGCCATCGTCATCACCACCATCATCGTCATCACCATCGTAGCCATCCTCATCAAAATCATCATCAGCAGCATCATTATCGTCCTTATCGTTATCATCATCACCATCAGCATCATCATCATCATCATCATCATCATCATCATCATCATCATCGTTATCATCATCGTCATCATCATCATCATCATCATCCTCGTCATCATGATCATCGTATTCCTCCTCCTTCTCTTCCTTCCCTTCCTTGTCCTGGTTTGCGGCGGGGAACCGACAAAGTGCCGAAGGTGGCGCTCATGACGACGAGCTTGAATTGCAGATTACGGGCGCGCTGGGCCGCCAAGCACATCGAAAAGCTGCAAGGCCGGTCTTCTCTCAGGGAGCGCGGAGGGGGGGCGACGGGACGCGCCTCTTTGATCCGCGTTCGCCTCGCCTGGGCACGTGCTAAGACAATGGGCTTCCTCGGCCCCCTCCCGCAATGCACAGCCAGACCCATGACTCAGGAAAGGGGTACCGTATCCTTCGAGACCTGGGTCAGATCACAGACTGGCTGGTCAGCAGGCCTGGCCTTGTCAGTGCCGCCCTGTACATGGGGAGAGAATCTACAACCTGGGCCAACTTCATGGAAGATGCAGAAGTACTGGGTCACAAAAGGACCTTCACGATCGGCGCAGCCGAAACTTGCTGCAAGGCCCAGCATGCTCGGAATGGGAAACTAACCACAGGCGCCCCCGAATGCGAGATGCTCACCGTGTTCCCTTTCTGCTCGCAGGTCGTACGTCGACAGGCTGGAGAATCACGATGACCTCGCCTCCTCCCATCCCTTTTCCTTATAAACAGCCTCTCCCTGTCGCACCCCGAGGCCAGTTCTTAGGGCGGGCCGGGCGTGTCGCATGAGATCTCCTCACCACTTATGACCCTTAAGCTTTACAGATGACAACAGCTTCACGGATTGAAAGCGGGTGTTTTATAATGTGGCTCTTGCCTTACAACCGCGCACATTCGTTTTGAAAATTGCAGGAGCTTCACAGATTGAGGGCGGGTGATTTTCAAAATGTGGGTCTCGCCTTGGCGCCGCGCACATTCGTTGTTAAAAATTTGAAGAACTTCGCGGATTGAGGACGGCTCCTTTTCAAAATGCGGCTCTCGCCTTGCCGCCGCGCGCATTCATTTCACAATTTTGCAAGAGCTTGATGCATTGAGGGCGGGTGGTTTTCAAAATGTGGGTCTCGCCTTAGCGCGTCGCACATTCGCTGTCTAAAATTTTGAAGAGTTTCACGGATTGAGGGCGGTTCCTTTTCAAAATGTGGCTCTCGCCTTAGCGCCGCGCAGATTCGCCTTGAAGACTTACAAGAGTTTCGCGACCTCCCATGATCAGCGTACAAAAACGGTGCTCTCTGGAAGGAGTCAGGATTCTGAGGGTGCAACAGTTACGTTGGTTCGCTGTGTTGAAGTCTCAGGAATGGCGTTCTGGCACGAGTCAAGATCGCCAAGACGCAACAGTCAGGTTGATCCGTGGCGTTGGAATCCCGAGAACACTGTCTTGGCATGCTTAAGGGCATTCAAACGGTTGTCTTCCAACGAGGCAGTTCCCACAGTGGAAATGAACCGTTGTAGGGGCCTATGAAAAAGAAGCTTGGAGGGAGGGCTTATTCCATCATCGTTGATGACTCTTGGGCTTCCACTGGTCCTCCTCCTCCTCCTCCTCCTCCTCCTCCTGCTCACGTTCCTCCTCCTGCTGCTGCTCCTAATGCTTCTGCTGGTGCTGGTGCTGGTTCTGGTGCTGCTCCTCCGCCTGCTCCTCATCCTCTCGACGACGACGACGGCGACGAGGCGACGAGCAACGCGGACACCTCACGACAAGGCCATCCCTTTCGTGGACCTCTTCCATCGCCCCAATCAGAAAAAACTATGGATCCAGCTCGTGTCTGCGATTCGGGTTTCTGCTACGCATGAGGCCAGAGGGTGGGTGTGCTGACGACGACGACAAGGGCGACATGAGGAGGAGGAGGAGGAGGAGGAGAGGAGGAGGAGAGGGCAAGCGCAGCCGCGCTACAACCAAGCATCACGTCATGGCAAAAGGAGCTCCTCAAGTCGGAATCGAGGTTTCGCTCGTGGAACTCGTCGAAGAAGATGGCACCGTACCCCTCGGCGGGGCGGCAGTGCCGTGCGACCCGTGGACTCGCTGCAGGGTGCGCGGCGCATGGGTCGCAGTGGTGCGCTCTCGAATTCGATGGAGTCGGCGAGATATGCGGTCCGCTACAAAGAACCCTGAGTCCCAAACTCAGCTGCCCCGGTGCGCAACACGCGACACGTAGCGTATCGATACGGAGCTCCACACGCGGGCTGGAAACGAAGGTCTGACGAAATGCGTTCGCCCGAAACGTGGGCCCATGCGCGGAATCAACACGCACCGGATTGAAACGGACGTTTTGAGCATGGCACGTGATGCGGTTCAAAACGGGCGTACCGAAGCAGTTGCAGTCGGCCCGTATCATAAGGATGCGCGAAAAGGCTGCAAGGGCCTTGGATGCCCATGTCGAAGCTTCTCGAGCGGGGCGCGGCCGACGGAAGTGGCCAAGTATGGACCGAGGAGGCAAGGATGCAAGGGTATCCTTAGGAAGGTTGCCCATCCTTGCCATGCGGGTCGACTCAATCCAAAATAATCGGCTGCAACGCGCAAGGCCGAGAAGAAGCTCCACAGGCCAAAACGCTCTGTTTGGCCTGTGAAATTTGTTTGTTGGCCTTGCGCGCTCGGGTATTGGCTTGGGTCGCGCATGCCCTCCTACAGGCGGATTTTGAAGGAAAAATGAAACATAGTCAAACATATTCAAGGCTAGCAGAAAGACCTCCCCTGAATACGTTTGACTATGTTTGGAAACTCCTCCTGTAGAGGGACAGGCCCGACTGAAGTGTTGGCCTTGCGCATCAGGGTTCTGGCCTTGCGCGCCAGGGGTCTCTCTGCCGGTGGGGCGGGCAACTTTTGCTGCCGCGGGCTGCCGCCGTCGGAGCCGACACCGCTTCTGCTCTGCCCTCTGCGGCGGGCCCGCGCTGGCCCTCCGCCACCCATACCCGCCGAAGCGGCGCCGCCGGGCCCCCCTCGCTGCCTCCGGGACGGGGCCCCGCCTCGAGCGCTCTCCGCGCGCGCCGCGGGGGCACCGCGAGCGCTCAGAGCTGCGGCAGGGGGGGGGGAAGGCAACGAGCTGGGGGGAGGGAGGAATGACATATGAGCATGCCAAAAAAGCTGGGGGAAGCAACGAGCTGGGGGAAGCAACGAGCTGGGGGGAGGGAGGAATGACACGAGCATGCCAAAAAAGCTGGGGGAAGCAACGAGCTGGGGGAAGCAACGAGCTGGGGGGAGGGAGGAATGCCATATAAAGCATACCAAAAAACGCCTGGAGCTCCGCGCGGACTCTCGCACCGAGGGTGGGCCGCCCCCCGGGCGGGCGCCTCTTCGGCGCCGCCCCCGGCGCCGCCCCTGGCGCGCGCCAGGGGCGGGGGGGGTCCAGCGCGGGTCCGAGAACTCCGCGCGGGCCTACGAGTTGTTAATGCTCATGCCAGTCTTCGTTCCCTCTTAGCGGACACCCCCCCCTCGCTCCCCCCAAACTCGAAGTTGGCACGCGCGGGGGGAGACTGTGGTCGAAGTGCAGCTCATCAGACCCACCGCCGGCTCTGAACACTGGGGGGAGGGGGAGGCGTTGACCGATGAGTGTGGCATGCGTGCTAGCTATCTTTACGAGGCCTGTAGGGATCCTGGGCGTCTCAGACAGACGTCGTACCGTCGCCTGCTCGGCGCCTCCGGCGGACCTACGGAGACCTTCTGTGAGGCCGCTGGCAGGAGACCTGTGCAACAGAACCAGGCGCCAGCACTACCACAGGGTGTGTTCCTTCGCGACGGTTCTTTGAGTCTGCACAATGACCGAGGTTGCCCAATGAACGAACTGCTGCGCACATGAGGAGAACAGGGGTTTGATCATCTGGCTCTGGTCTGGACCCTGAACCCCCTCCTGCTGATCCTCCTCCTCCTCGCCCTTCCTGCTGCGCAACCATCTCTTCACACACCTCCCTAATCCTCTTCCTAATCCCTCCTCCTCCTCCTCCTCCTCCTCCTCCTCCTCCTCCTCCTCCTCCCTTCCACGCCCATCGTCGTGCCGTCTCCTGCCCCGCCTCCACCTGCTCTCCCTCCCTCCCCCTTCTTCCCCATATGCCTCCCCCTGCTCCTGCACCTCCTCCTCCACCCTTCCTGTCCCTCCACTTCTCCTCCCCCCTACTCCCCCCTCCTCTCCCCCTGTCCTCCTGCCCCGTGCCTCTTTATCCTCCTCCTCCTCCTCCTCCTCCTCCTCCTCCTCCTCCTTTTCCTCCTCCTCCGTCCCTGCGAAGCCAGCCTGCGTCCCTCTGAACCAGCCTGCGTCCCTGGCGACCGATGCTGCGCAGGCAATATGTTTTGCACCCTACTGGCCTCGCACGGGAATAGCACAACGTCATCCGAGGGCAGACTCTGCTGGCCTCGCACGGGAAGAGCACAACGTCATCCGAGGGCACGCCCCGCAGGCCGGAGGGAAGACGCCACCGGCACAAGAAGCGGGAGGAGGGAGAGAGGAGACAAGGGTGAAGGAAGAGGAGGAAGAGGCCATGAGCAAGAAGCAGAGGTAGAGAAGAGAGGATTGGGGTGTGGGGGTGTGGGGGGTGGGGGGGCGGAGGTCGAGGATTACCGCCACGGGGGAGGAGGAGAACCAGGGAGGAGGCGAAGGAGGTGCGGGGAGGAGGACGAAGAGCACCGAGGAGAAGGAGGAGGAGGAGGAGGAGGAGATCCAGGGAGGAGGGCACGGAGTGAGGAGGAGGAGGAGGAGAAGAACAGGAGGAGGAGGAGGAGGAAGAGGAGGAAAAGAGGAGGATGAGGAGGAGGAGGGGGAGGAGGAGGAGAAGGAGGAGGAGGAGGAGGAGGGGGAGGAGGGGGAGGAGGAGGGGGGAGGAGGAGGAGGGAGAGGGAGGCGGAGGAGGAGGGGGGAGGGAGGGAGAGAGGGAGAGAGGAAGCTGGCTCCCTTGCTGCAGCGAAGCGCGCTCAGCGCCGCGACGGCCGCCGAGCCGAGGGAGACCTGGCCTATGGGACTTCCGCGGCGCAGAGCGGCCGACCGTGGCGACGCGCAGGCGTGGCCGGAGGGGAGGCAGGGTTGATGAACCAAAAAAGGACTCCTGACCCTTTGGGAGGGGACCAAAGTTAGGAGGGCCAGAAATATCAGGGATGGAGGGTCCTTTCTGCAGATGTGCCGGGCCAAGCCGCCCATATATATATAATATATTATCCCGAATGAGAAGACGGAGACCTCAGTGAGGCCACGTCTTCAACGTGCTGTTGAGGTTAGGGGTCCTTCTGTTCTCAATGAAGGGTGCCCCGACTCCCTCGCGTTGTTAGAATTAGGTCGGGCATGTCCTTCTACAGGCGCATTGTGGAAGAACGGAATAAACAGAAATACTCAAAGATGTTCAAAATGGTCGACCAATCGTCCCCAGACTATGTTTCTACTATTCACTGACTACTCCTCCTTTAGAGGGACGTGCCCGATTTAGCGTTAGGACAAGCACTGCGTACATACAAACCATCGACGCTCCGCGCGGATGTCCTAGATCGGCGCTGGAGCCCCCCAAGCGGCGCCTCTGGCGCGCTCCGCGCGCCAGGGAGGGGGGTGCAGGGCCGATCCAAGAAATCTACGCGGAGCGCCGAATGTTTATGCTTATGCCGTCTTTTCCTCTCCCAGCCGTGGACAAAAATTACGACGGACGGTTCTTGACTGTTTTTGTCAAAATACGGCTCAGGGGAACGGGTCGGGACTTGCGGGGAGTGGGTCATGCCTGCTGCGTCGGGGCTACAGGGGTCGACATTGGTGCGAACACCACAACGTCAGGGGCACGGGTTGCTGGAACAAGAAGCAGCCAAGATCGGGACGAGAGTGGACCAGCATGACTCGAGAATCCCCTGAGAGCTGGCAGGCTCTGGGAAGAGGCATCGGGGGCCGCGGCTGCTCTCCAGAGCGCTCCAGGGCGCTCTGAGAACGTATCCAGGGAGCGCTCCCGAGACTGCCTGCCGAGAGGTATCCAGCTGCTCCCATGTTTTTCGATGCGTGGACCCCGGGAGGTCCGGACCACCTCGCTGGGGCCGGTCTCGCGTCCCGAGTCTTTTCCGAAAGCTCCCGAGGCCAGGCGACACGGGCCCCAGTGGGCCGAACAAACGGCCAAGCACCGCCCGCCCCGAGGGTTGTCGGAGCGTCGGATCTCTGCGTGGATCACTGCGGAGATTGCTGGGCGGGCAGGGGCTTGCAAGTGGGTGCCAAGGCGGCTGACATCAGGCCCAACCTGGCTCACAAGTGACTCACACGTGCTCCAAGTGGCTTGGGTAGGCTCGACAACTCCGCCGAGTGGGCGGAGCCCACGTGGCCGGGATCCTCACCCCCGCTGGGCCATTCGGGGCACCTGCAGCAAACTTCTCAGCTGGGCTGGGCCATCTACAAACCACCTTGGTGCCCAGCCCCCCTCGCGTCATGAACGAAATCACGACGGGAGGCTGCTCGCTGTGTTCGGCCTCTGGGGGCCCTCACCGGTCCTCGGGACCGTCAAAAACGAAACTGGACGAGAAACGGGTCCCCAGGGCAGCGGGTCGAGACCTCTGGGGGGTCGACGTTCTGAAAAAGTCATGATAGAGGAAAAAGAACTATGCACATACACCGGTTCTGGCCAGGCCCATCCTGAGCCCAGGATCGGTGCATACGCCCTCCTTCATTGGCCAGGAAGGAATACGCACCGATCCTGGGTCAAGGATGGGCCTTGCCAGGATCGGTGCATGTGCATAGTTCTCTTCACCCGATCATGACGTCGGGGGTCTGGGCATCCACCAGCAAGCCCCCGCATTCGCTTCGCAAACCGCCGCGGTGATCCAAGCAGGTGGGGGACACCCGGGCTGCGCCCCCCGACTGGTTTATATTTATATCCAGGGTCGCTCTGCACGCCCCCATCCCTCCCTCCCTCCTCCCTCCCTCCCTCCCTCCCTCCCTCCTCCCTCCCTCCCTCCCTCCCTCCCTCCCTCCTCCTCCTCCTCCTCCTCCTCCTCCTCCTCCTCCTCCTCCTCCTCCTCCTCCTCCTCCTCCTCGGTCCC